AACTTTTTGGGTAAAAGCCAAGAGCTTAGCCATTGCCACCAGCGCTCCATTTTCTCTTTGGCTGAGTATTGACCAAAAGACTGCTATTTGTGAATTTTTCTTAAAACATGGCACTTTAAACTTACCGTTCGAAATGTGATATTTTTACCACTCTTTACATATGTGTAGATTGTTGCTCAGTCTAGAATTTTTGCTAATTTTTCTGGAAAGGGATAAAGATTAAAAACAAACCTTAATAATCTTTGTTTGAAAACTGTACAAGTATAATGAAAAGGGACCCATAGAGAAGAAAGAAAATAATTCTTCATTCAAAAATGCTCTGCTTTCCATCTCTTCTTTCATTACTGAATTTTTGGGAGATTGCCTCAACTTCAAAACTTCTGCTGTCACATTTTTTATATATGATTTAAATATTTTCCCCGAATAATCCTTCTCCGTAGCATTCTGTTCTTATGTCATGGATTTAATATTTTCTGTTATCTGAGAATGTTACTGATAGCTTTTTTGTTTTCTTCCTGCATAATCATTCTTTCTTTACACTGCTCCTTCTATTTGCTTTAGTCTCTGACATTCATGTTTGATACTTTCCTACACTGACTTTATACTTTAAATCACTGAAAGGCTAAGTCTGTGTAACTGGAATCCTTGTTGCCTTGCTTTTTTCATGTAGTTCTCTAATGACCTTGAAGTGTAGTAGAAAGGTGATGCTGACACATAGTGCACAGAAAAACGAGGAAACTAAAGGGTCTCAGAATTCTAAAACAGTAGCCATTAAAAGTACAAATAACTGCACAGTTAACGTTGAATTAGAATTAAGCCTTAGATTGTAAAACGTCTTTAAATGATCTATTTTAGGGTGTTTGTCAGCTTCCCAGTGAAAATGAGGAACAAGAATATCCACACAGGAGAATTGATATCAGGTAGTATGCAAAATGTGTTACTGGTCAACCTAGGAATCTTGCCTTTCTTTTCTCCCCTAAACCTTCTTGCATTGCACTGTATAGCTTGAAAGTTTTCACATCAATGTCCAGAACCACTTTTTATTCTGAAATACTATATGTTGCTGCTATTTGCCTTGCTTACCCTTAGAATATATAAAGAATAATGCCTATTTGTTGTTGTTAAGTGCTGTCAAGTTGATTTAGACTCTTCACATCCCTGTAGAGGATTTCCGAGGAGTACCTGGTGGGTTTGAACCACCAACTTTGTGGGTAGCAGTCCAGTGCTGATCCCACAGTGCCACACCAGGACTCCCAGTGCCTATTTACAGGCTCTAATTTATTTTCTCTCTTTTTGCATTATCACCATCATGCTTTCTACAGCTCAAGAAGTTTTCTCCCTGGGGGAAATGAGTGGAACAGCCTCAGGCTGTGTCACAGCTCTTGTGGAGCCTCGGTTACTGAATCCTAAATCCTAAACTCACCTCTAGGCTGTGGTGGTTTGAATGCTCTACTTCATAGTGTTTTCCTCCTTGGACTATTAGACTACATAGACTTATTTATTTTGTGCCTTTGATGTGGCGCTGTAGGATAAAGCAGTGGACCGCAAGGTCAGTTTGAACCATGAGGTTGGTGGTTCAAACTCACCAGCAGCTCCTTGGAAGCCATATATAGGGTGGATATGAATTAGAAGTGACTCAACGGTTAACAACAACAGAACAGAAATTTTTAACAACAACAGAAATTTTTCCAAATCTGAAAAGTGTGGCAAAAAATGTATCTTTTTTTTTTTTAGGCTGATACCCAAGGATCAGTATTACTGTGGCGTGCTCTATTTCACTGGGAGTGATATTTTCAATAAGAATATGAGAACACATGCCCTAGAAAAGGGCTTTACAATCAATGAATACACAATCCGTCCCTTGGGAGTCACTGGTGAGTATTTGTGCCTGCATTAGAGACAAAGACAATACTGGTCATCTGGAAAGTTGTTTTCAAAGATACTTTGGTTTAGCAACTGTGGGTTGTTGTTTTGTTTTTGTTTTTTTAAAGCCTCCTAGTTGTACCATTGAATTATACTGGTAGTCCTTAAGCAAAGAGAGTCCTTAGATGGCACAGACAGTTGAGACTGATAATTTGAGCCTGCCCAGAGGCAGGTTGGAAGAAAGGCCTGGCAATCTTGTTTCAAAAAGATACACCCTGTGTTCTGTGTGGAGCACTGAAGACTTCTACACGTGAAATTGATTTGACAGCAACTGCTAAGTCACTCAGAAAAAAAAAAGATGATTTTAGTTCATAAGGACCTCCCAGGCCCTTAATTAAAGGCCCATTAATGCCACCTTACTTGTGGTTGGGTGCTGTCAAGTCAATTTCGACTCATAGCGACCCTAGATATGGTTTCCAAGGCTGTAAGTGTTTATGGGAGGTGTAATTCTCATCTGTCTCCCATGGAGGGAGGCCACTGGTAGATTCAAACTGCTGACCTTTTGGTTAGCAGCCAAACACTTAACCCACTACACTGCCAACATTACTTCCTGCTCTGTTAAAAAAGATTAAGTCTTTTACTTATGATGGTCAAGAAAAAAATCTTTTATTGATCTGAAGTTTTGTTTTTTTATTTTGGTGTATATCCAAGACTTCTAAAGAACTCAGGTATCATTGTTTTCAGTGCTAGGTGGCATAGTTGGGTAGCTTTGGCTCCTATGCTTTTAAAGCCTAAAGAAGAAATCTTTGCTTTATAGATCTTTTAAGATTTCACAGTGTATTTGTTGCTTACTGTGCTGTATTAGGTAAAAAGATTTTGTTCTAAAATGTGACGTAAGGTTTTCACTCCTAGTAGGCAGGGCAGGCAGTGCTTTTCATCTCTGTGTGTATCCGAGCTGCCTGAGGGCCTTGTGGAAATACGGACTCTAGCTCAAAGAGCATAAGGTAGAGCCTGAGGCTCTGCATTTTAGTTCACTTCCAGGCGGTGTCACTGCTGCTAGCTCAGGGGTCACATTTGGGGGAGTAAGGGAGGTAGTGTATCTTATGGGATACATGGTGGTGACAGTGGAGAATCAATTGAGATAGTCAGGCTCCTTTTGTAACACTGGTAGGATACATAACAGAGCTCAGTCACGGGCTCATGTGGTGGTTTAGGTATCAGTTCTTTTGTGGTTAACCATTAACTTTTTCTTCTCCAAAACAGGTCCCACATAATTCTCAATCCTGAGTCTTGTATAAATAAATTCTGAAACTGGTCCTTAGTTTCTTTTCTCTCTCTACCTATAGGTGTTGCTGGAGAGCCCCTGCCAGTGGATAGTGAAAGAGACATCTTTGACTACATCCAGTGGAAGTATCGAGAACCCAAGGACAGAAGCGAGTGAGGCCTGTCCTCTCGCCCAAGCACAGTGCAACAGGAGTCTTAATTTATTTCCTAACCTTTGCTATGTAAGGGTCTCTGGTGGTTTTAGAGCACTGGGTTTTTTTCATGCTTTTGCTTGCATTGTAGTCAATAAAGTCTCTTCACTACTAAAATATGAAATTGTTCCTATTTTATTAACAATATTTTCCATTTAAGCTTACATATTATGTTCATGATCACACTGTACTAGGGTGTACCGGTAGTTGTGTGCCACAGAGTTGGTTCTGGCTCATAGTGACTCTACATAGGGTTTCCAAGGCTATAAATCTTTACAGGAACAGAAAGCCTCAAATCTTTTTACCATGGCGTGACTAGTAGATTTGAACTGCTGACCTTGCATTTAACAGCCCAGTTCCTAATCCACTAAGCTACCAGGGCGCCTTGTACTAGAATATGGTAGAGATGAACTGATGATGTTGTTGCGTGCCATCCAGTCAATTCTGACTCATCACAAGTCTTTCATGAGAATTTTTATTTTCTCATTTTCTGTCCTTGATGACATCAACTTTATTTCCTCACTGCCTTTCCTCCGGCAAGGTACTTAGGTAATGTACACCTAGGACTAGTCTCTAGAAGATGATTCAGTATGTTTTTATAAACTAGGAACATTCTTTCTTAATTTTTTTCTTTTGCTGGCCCATATTTGATTTTTTAACATATGCTTATGACTCAAATAGAAAATCAAGTGTATGGTTTACCTTTTAAATGAAATCTGTGGCACTTGGTTGTAATCCATTAGAAAGAGCTTCCTAAGCAAAACCACTTCTAATCACAAAATGTTAAGTGTCATCAAGTTGCTTCTGACCCATGGCAAGTCTGTACACGTTTTCTAAGGAGCAGCTGGCAAGCTTGAACCACTGAATTTGCGGTTCAAACCAACTTTGCAGTCCGGCACAGTAACCCACAGTGCCACACCAGTATAAGGCCTCTTATATTTCAAGCAAAGAAACAAAAACCTCTTTTTGCCTGAGTTTTTCTCCAAGATAACAACAGTTGGACAAAATTATAAGTAGAAACACTCCTCGAAAAGTTCAGCTTTGAGATGTAGTAATTACACAAGATGTGAAAAATAATCAAATGGTAAGTAAACAAAATATGTGAAAATGCTTTATAACTCATGAAGCTCAGATAAATGTAAAGTGCTAATTAATACCTTTTGAATTTTATTTATTGGCAAAATTATTTTGTCATGAAGTGGCATTTCCTTTAAGAATTGAAGGAAACGAAGCCGAGCCAACAGTAGGGTTTTTAAGGGAAAACTTGCTGTGAGGATTATCATTGGTAAGATGTAAGAATGCATTTATTTTTTTTCAGATGCTAGCTAGCACTTTTTCCCAAGCTGCTGTCAGATACCAGCCTTTCATCAGCTCTATCTGAAACTGATTCACTAGAACAAATTTTACAATTTGCTTCCGTTGTGTTTGTTTCTGTTTCTTTGGTCACAGGATCACATCAGGTCTCTGGAGAAGCAGACAGAAAGGCAAAGCTATTTCCATTCATCACAAGGCAGTCCCTCAGAGTTGTCTAACTTCAGTCTATTCCTGCTGCTGCAAGATCTTATAAGAGAGATTTGTAGGAAAAGATTTTTAAGTTAATGCCTGAGATTTCAGCTTAAATACAATAAGAATTCTTCCTTATCTTGAAATATTTGCAGCTCCTTAGATTTTTTGGCATACTCTTAGCCGTGCGTGTTGTCGATTGCCAGTAACTTGATTTCGGCATAATAGTCCAGGACCACAGTCACAACGCTGGAAAATTTCTGGCGCTTGAGCGGCATCTTTATGACCTCTCCTAGAGCAGACCTGTCCCTCCAATAGGACTGGTTTACAAATTTTAGTCCAAAAATGACGAGCACAGCAAAGTCCAGGTCCACAGTCAAAAGTTCTAAGACAGCTTTCTCCCTCTTGTCCTGTAAGAAGATCAATAAGGGCTTTAGGAAAATGGGGAAAGTGGCCCACAGGATGGTTACAAGAGGGATATGAAAGAAGACTGGAGGCTACAAAGCAGAAGTAGAAATAGCACATAGATCTCCACAGCGTTAGGTCTGATGTTAAAAGCCGTAATGAAATGGAAATTCCAGTCCTACCTGACAGAATTGATTGTGTTTTATAAAGCTAAAACATTTATTAAAGAAAGATGTTGGGGTTTCCAATTTAGAGAAAATAAGGATCACACAGCAATGTTTTATTAAATAGAGTTCATTTTTATAAAAAGACCATTATAAACGGGTCAGTGAGCCTGAAGACAGGAGTGACTAGTTGTTTACCAACTTCAAACAATATGTCAAAGATTGGAATTTGAGACTGATTTTGTAAAAGGCTCATCTTAAGTGAAGTTTGTGTTTTGTACAAAGATGAAAAGTTAATGCATCTATTTCCATCTTGTCTATTTAATATCCTGAGGCTCAAAGATGGTAAACTGCCATTTGATAAATTATAGACTGTACATAGGTGTGTGTAAGTGTGTGTGTGTAATAAAGTCTAACTTTTCTGGCGTGCAGAGGAATAAAGTCAATTCTATCCAAGAACCTGGGAGCAGAAATGGTTTTTATATAAAATGTGCTGAGAGCGCTGCTCTCACTTACCCTTGCTGCCCTGTGACTTCTTAGTATTTGGCTTTCTCTTGGGTTTGTTCTCCTGAACTGGATGCTCAGTTGTTCCTTTTGTATCCATGTCATCTTGGTCATCAGCTTGTCTTTCCAATATTGGGGCTGCATCGTCCATTGTAGTACAAACATCTAAGGGACAACCAGGTAGAATTAGAATTACTCACTTCAAGGGTTGTGAACACAGACATGCTATTTAAAATACTGTGTTACAGTTTCGCAGCACCTCTGCCTTCAGTTTCTACATAACCTAGATTTCTGGGACGTATGCACTAAATATTTATACACTCACATATGGCAAAGTAGTTAAATAATTATTGGGATCCAAGTGAAAATGATATGTTTTTAAAGATTCCAACTTAAACCTACGAAACTATCCCCAAGTTACTGGTAAGTGTTGTTGCAGGGAAATTAGTTTTGTTTGGTTGAGTTTTTTTCATCAAGAAAGGCACCTATAAATTTGCTTCAAGCATGAACCGAATGTTTAGCAAGAGTGGCTGTCTTGGAATATTCTAATTCATGAAATTCAGATGGTATCTAGCTTCACTTTGAAAACCACTGTTCAGTGAAGCAAAGCAATTCTATAATGGGTTTATGATTGCTTACCATTTATACAGAGTGTCCCTGGGCAGCACATGGCATTACGTTGACACCTCCTCCGTAATCCACGACAGGTAGTACAGAAGGGTTTCTCATCTTGGGGCTTGAGGCAGAATTTCCTGGTATTGCAGTCCTTGTCAGACAAACACTGTGAGCCCTGTGAAAGGGATGTGGAGGGAACTAAATCATAGTGGCACTTTGAATGCTGTGACAAACCTTAGGCAGCATCTTAGTCTTTCACCACAATTTGTTTTCTCCCACGAGGAAGCTCAAACCACCGATGAAGAGGCCCAGGTGTTGAAAAATCTATTTGAGTTTGAAAAAAAAAAATTGTTCTACTTTGAAAATTAAAATTATATTTTCTTAATGCTTTCTGTGAAAATGGAAGATGTTTCCCCTTGTGTGCCGTACATTTATGAGATTGTGGCATTTCTGTTTGATTGCTTACTCCCAAGAATCACATCCATCTCTGCATCCATCGGCCAACTAGCACTTCCGTGAGTCTTCCCCATGTGAACTGGCCTTTGAGTTGCCTGATAACCACCAAAACAATTGTTCTCATCCACAGTTGATGCTTCACATTTAGCATACAGCAAAAGAAAATGAATTCTAGAACTTAGTTCAGTACATTATCATTGCCAATTCAGCTGTCTCTCCTAATTTACTTCTCCTCAAATCCCCTCCTCAATATCCCCAGTACCTGTGGCCCAACTTGTTCCCAATCTTATATTTGTTGTTAAGTGCCGTCAAGTCAGTTCCTACTCATAATGAACTTGTATAGGGTTTACAAGGAGCAGTTGGTGGACTTGAACTTTATATATACGTAAAGAGAGTCCTGGTGTGGCACTGTAATAGATAAGTACTAGATTGGTTGGCAGTTCAAACCCACCAACTGCTCCTTAGAAGCCATATATAAGGCTGCTATGAGTCCTGGTGTGCTGCAGGCTAATATGCTAGATTGCAAAGTTGGTTTGAACCACTAGGTCAGCGGGTCAAGCTCACCAGCTGCTCCTTGGAAACCCTATTCAGGGTTGCTATGGGTTGGAACGGACTCAAAGGCACTTAACAACAGCAACAACTATATAAATATATGTGTGTGTGTATATAGTAGTGGTGGTGGTTGTGTGCTTGGAGTTGGTTCTGACTCAAAGCAACCCTGTACTGACGCTGTAAATTATTATGGGAGCAGAAATCCTCATCTTTCTCCCATGGAGTGGCTGGTAGATTTGAACTGCTGACCTTGTGGTTAGCACCCCTACTCATAACCTATTACACTTCTAGAGCTCCATATATATGGCAAGCGCAGTGGCTCCATATGATTTGCACTGACTGGACTTCGAACCATTAGGTCCTTGGTTCGAGCCCACCAGCCACTCCACAGAAGAAAGATAAGGCTTTCTGCTCCCACAAAGATTTAACGCTTCGAAAACCCTATACAGGATAGTTTAGAGTCAGAGCCTACTTAATGAAACTTAACAACAACAACCAAATATATACATACATACATATGTACACATAAGGAGCCCTAGTAATGCAGTGGGTCATGCATTGGGCTGCTAACCACAAGGTCTGCAGCTTCAGTACACCAGCCGCTCCGTGGGAGAAAGATGAGGCTTTCTGCTCCCATAAAGGTTTACAGCCACGGAAACCCTGTACAAGGTCTCTATATGAGTTGGAACTGACTCAATGGCACACAACCACCACCATACACATATACATACTTCCATATGCATTATGTATGTATATATGCATTATGTATGTATATATGCATTATGTATGTATGCATATGGGAGATTAGGCTTTCTGTTCCTGTAAAGATTTACAGCCTCAGAAACCCTATACAAAGTTGCTGAGCTGGAACTGACTCAGAGTGATACTGGAAAACAAGAAATATATATGTATGATATAATACACAAAACAATTTTATAACATTAGATAGTGTCAATGAGAATGTACCATTGTTAAAATTCAAACTCCTCTATTTATTGGCTGTGTGGCCTTGGGTAAATCCCTTAACATCTCTGAGTTTTATTTTCTTCATTTGCATTTAGGAGGTGTGATACCTCAAGTTGTGATGAAGATTAATAGAGATATTATACACAAAAGGCCTTTTTAAATATCACTTCACTTACCTGATTTATAGGCGAATTTACAATTGAATGCCCTGCAACGCTTTAATAATGCGTTCATGTTAATGCAATTGGATTCTATCAGGGTGCCTTCCGAATTCCTAAATCAATCCAATATACCTTCTGATATTGTTAAGTGACACCGAGTCCGTTACGACTTACGGTGGTGGTAATGTGCCCCGGAGTCGATTCCGACTCATAGTGACCCTGTACAGGGTTTCCAAGGCTGTAAAGCTTTACGGGAGCAGAAAGCCTTATCTTTCTCCCGTGGAGCAGCTGGTAGTTTCAAACTGCTGACCTTGAGGTTCGCAGCCTGATTCGTAACCGCAGCCTGATTCGTAACCGCAGCCTTATTCGTAACCGCTACACTACGAGAGCTCATTGTTACAACTCATAGCGACCCTATATAAGGTTTCCGAGGAACAGCTGGTGAATTTGAACCGCCAATATTGCGGTTCAAGCCCACCTTGCAGACCAGCGCATTAACCCACAGCGCCACACCAGGACTCCTAATACCTTCTAGATAGGGTCTTTTACACGTTAGTTTGAATGATTTATGTTAAGTGTAAACCCAATACCCTTACCATCAGCCCTGTATTCTCCCTAGCTGTGCCTTACCTTCCGAGTCCCTTGCACATCAGCAGAGTTCTTGATGTTGTTGAAGTCCAGAACCAGCGCTCCCAGTGGGGAGCAGAACCAGCTGAGCCCCAGCAGGTACACCACCACCATCGTTTTGTCTCCCTGTCTCCTCAAGCTTCTCAGTACTGTGCACGTCTTCCAAACAGAATTTTACCAAGAGGGAAACTTAGCAAGTCTATAAATGCTTTTTTTTTTTTCCCCCCCTTGAAAGAGAAGCAAATCTTAGGCTAAGCAAGGTGTGTGGAAAGAGACGAGCCAGATCAGACCAGCAGGTTTCCTCTGAAGGGATTTATAGCCAGATGTGTCCCCCTCATTTCTCTCCGCCTCCCTCCCCCCTCATTTCCTTCCGCCGTAGCCCACACAGGCTTCAACAAATCCCTTCAAATCTGTTTGATCAATAGTTCAAAACAAGGACTCAATAGAAGGAGAGAAGAGGCAGGGCCACAGCGGCTTCTCCTCCAGGGGTTGAATCCCTCTTAATTATTGCATATCAAAGTTAGTTCAAAGGGTAGCAGGAGAGCAGGATGTCTGTATCAAAGGCAAACTCTGATAATCACCTGCATTTCCTACCTTCAATAATCCTCTGCGGGTTGGGGGCGCCTACTCTAAGATCTGTTTTCACAGCTAATTGTGCTCAAAGAAAGAATGAATCATATTGGCCAGTATTCTATAGAGGATGCCAAAAACGAATGAGTTACAAAATAGACTGAGAACCTTTAAAAGGTGCTTCAGATAGTGAAGACTGATAGAAAAGGGAGAGATGCCTTCTGGTTGGCTCTGGCACCCAGAGGTAAAACTCCCAATAGCTTAAAAGCTGTGAATATAATAGCAGCTGTTCCTACTAAATGTCAATGGGGAAATCACTCTCCTTAAAATGAAAATGGAATTGTTTGAAGTTAGGGTTATTTAATTAGGAAAATAATGGGATTTATAAAAAATCTTTTTTGATGATGGAGATCCCCACAGGAAGTCTATTTTGTATAGATTCATACAGTTGAGGGGGATGTTTTGGATCCATTTTATGAGCAATGTATTTAATTTGGATTGTGTTATGTTAAATTGACAAGCAGAACAGGTCTCCAAGTAGTCACGAGCTGATTTAAATGGAATGTCATTCGTTTCCAATTTTCCTAATTTTTAATTTAAATTTCTGCCTCACCCCTTTTTTGTCTGCATTTTTTTTTTTTTTTTTTTTTTAACTTTTTGGTGTTTTTTATTGTTTAGACATGTACTTACCACTCCTTTAAGTACATTCAG